CGAACTTCGAGTGAAAATGAATATCAGAGGGTGGAGGGAGAGAGAAGTAGAAGAAAGAGAGAATACGGCGAACCACCTCAACCCCTTGATTGGTTTACGCCGAAAGTTCGGAACATGAATGGAGGGAACGCAAATGGGTATGAGGACATGGAGGATTGGGGGAAACCGACCCATAAAGAATCCCAGGACCCTGTGATCAAGGCTGCGGATGAGGTAGAGCCTACTAACCCTTCAGACTCGGACAAATCAAAAGGGCATGAGAATGTAGAGGATTGGTGGAAGCCATTTCAGAGACCACCTCGGGAACCTGTGACCACGACCCCAAAAGATCCAGCGCGCGTTAATTCTTCAACCAAGAGTGTAAAATGGGGAGAAGGTCTTGGTGCGGGCGGGAAACATATACAGCCTTTTGCAGGTGGCCGTCTACCTTTCCACAACGAACCCGAGAGTCCGCTAGATGCAGCCGAGAGGCTCGAAAATCAACTCAAGGCAAACGAGGACTACAAGCACAAATCCAAATACCAAAGCCCTTCGGTTATGGATTTTCAAGAGCCACTCGTGTCGAGCAAGAAAGCAAAAATCAAAAAATCTACACCCGTCCACGACAAAGCAGTCCAAAATGCTCCATTGCCAGTTCCATCCGCGGCACGCATAAACCCTCATCCTCAAAACGATCACGCGGGAAAATTGAGCTGGATGGAGATTGCGATAATTGTGGTGATTGGAATGTTACTGGGAAGATTGGCACTGATGATTACAGGTGTTACATCTGAAAAACAAGATATCAGTGGAAGTTTAAAGTGGGGATTAGGGAAGACTGTTGAATAAGTTGAGAAGGAAATGGTTTGATTGTTGCTGTGATCTATGTTGATTTAAGTAGCATTTGATGTAAACATAAATGTAGGAAAAGAATTATCAATGGCGTCTTTTTCTGTTACTCACTTGAAGTATGATAGAAGGGGTTGTGCTTATAATGAACATGTGGAACATTGAATTCTGAATTCTATTACGACGGGACTCTATCGCTAGAGAATCACAAGCAGTGTCATGGACTCCTTGATCTTACACTTCTCCTCGAAGATCCTAACACGTATCCCCCAAATTCCATAATCATCCCTCAAAGCCAACAAACCCCATCATTCGATTGGCCAGCAAAATACACATTTTTCACGGCTGACTTGCTTTATCCTCTAACCTCCATCTCCCTTCCCCCTCTTCTCTCTTCCAAATCCATCTCGTATACCAGCATCACAACAACCCCTCGCTTCGGTCTACAGCTCCTGTTGCCGCCTTTGAATATCTCAGTTCCTCTACAATACTTACTCTGCTTGCCTTTCCCGCCCTCCAGCGGAACAGATAAAAGTACCGCTGCGCTAGAGACGCAAGCAGCTATCTATTGTAAAGAAGAAGTCAGGAGGACTGATGTATGGAGAATCACCATACTATATTGGCGAAACTCTAGTAGACCAGTGAGGAAAAGTAGATAAATGTAGACCAACATTAAGCGTAAAACACATCGCATAGCATTGCACGACAAAAATGGAAACAAAACAAATAAGTAGAGGTGAGTACGCTTTGGTCATTTCACATATCTTCGTTATCCTAACGCCAGTTTCCTTTGCGCCTTATATATGTAAGTAGAGCTTCCATTGTTCCCAAGCCAAACAAATGGCAACAAATCAACGCCATCCCATCCCACCATGCCCACAAAGCTTCGAAGTGGCTTGAAACATGATTGTCACAGACAACAAGTAGGTATTGTGATTTCCTTAAAATTCTCCTTCGGTACTTCCAACACCACTCATAGCCTTACTTCCATACATTCCTACTAATCCCCACACACCAACTCTCCATCCTCTCCAGAGTCCCTCAATCCCTTGTCCCTTCTTTTGAACTTTCTTAATTTTCCTCAATGGTGTCACCGCGCCTACACTTGCAACAGGCTCGGGACTAGATGACTCTCCTTCTTCCCGGGCAATAGACCACATTGTACCTACCACCCCATTGTATGGACCAATATCGACAATTGTTTTAAGGTCTTGAGATTCGTTATATTGAGTTGAGGCGAGTACCGCAGCTTGTCCACGACGTAAAACTGTTTCAATTGGTAGACGAATGAAGATTTCCAGTGTTTGAGCAAGGAATGTGAATGTCGTGTAGCTCGTGGGGGTGAGAATAGGATCGATGGAGAGGCGAGTTCGAAGAAGTAGCGGGGTGCAGTGTGATATAGTGGGCTTGATTATGGAGTGGAGAATAGTAGGAATGAGAAGTAATGGAGGACATATATATGAGGGTAGGGTGTTGAGGTTGTGAGTAAGAGATCTTTTAGGATCTGAAGTTGGGGTGAGGATCAACCTATCTGAATGAGTACTTTGTTTGGAGAATAGTGATTAATGACTTACTTCGTCCTCACAAGATCAAGAGGGGCAAGAATAAGACCTGCAGTAGCAGCTGCCGCTATTGCTACACTTAATGATGTCCATGGGCTAGGAGAACCAGTAACATCAACTTGCGCTGCTAGTGTTGCTAACCCTGGATCCGGAATGTTCAGTGCCGCCGATATCATGCTGCTTGACCAACTTTCCATCGTCTTCAGTAGAAAGCCGTAGATAAAAGTTGCATTGGATCCCTTCCACACACCCCAAGCTCCCTCCTTTGACCACTCCTGTGCTATCACCTCCATTATAGAATCTGACCTCCGAAGGTTTAATTGATGTGCAGGCTTTGGCTTTGGTGGTGTTACTTTAGGAATAGATTTGTCCTCCCACCCAGACGCTTCGCTGCTATATCGACGCCTCGACGGGGATGATGACTTTGTATGAGGTGCCGCCGATGTAAAGTAAGCTGTCTCGTCTGCATCAGAGTCGTCGGAGGGGTAGTTCTAGATTCCGATTAGCTCCGCATCTCGACCCCTCATTTGGAAAATCCTACCTCATTGTACTCTGATGGTCGTCGTTTTATTTTCTCCACTGTAGCTGCTGGTGTTGTCCCTTCCTCAAAATCCTGACTCTTTACCTGCAAAATTGTTTTTGCAACCTCGAAGGGCTGTCCACACAATATCCCCGCATAGTTGGTGAAAGTCTCGTTAACAAACTTCTGAAGTGATTCGATGGTAGATGGTGAGGTATCCGATAGATAGTCACTGTAGTCAATATCTGAGAATATGTCTCGAGCTGAAGATGCATATGAAGCTGCACTTCCATTTTTCAATCCTACTCCATGAGTTCCCGAAGTCGTAATAGGTACTTCTTGAGGTATTCCGATGGAAGGTGGAACATAATATGGTCTTAACGGGTTTGGACCTTCTCTTGAGGTCGACATTTTGGGTTATGTTGCATTCAAGAATAAAAACGAGGGGAAAGAAAATTTACACAAATTCTCTTATGCAGTTGTTGTCGTCGTCTCTTTGTTTTCCACGTCGGTCCGTCAATGCAAGGTTGAAGAAGTACCTTGTAAAGGTATTCAAGCTTTTTTTTCCCCTACGATGTTCAATTGGAGAGTTCATCAGCAAGGATTACATTGGCCCCAAAGCTGGGCTGGTTGAACTGGAGTAATGGGTGACTGATATGCCTTATCCGCGAATAGGCCTTGCTCACAGCTTGTTCGACCGCCCTGAACCGCACAAAATTTCGGAGTAATCGCAATACACCGATTGGTTATACGCGGATTTACGAATATTTTTATATGAGTACAAAATGTAATGCCACCACCTGCCTTTGGTTGAAAGATTCAAAGACCTGTGGAAAGCTTGTAATGATTTGAAACAATTAAATTATTTGTTTACTCTCAAAAGAACACTCTTTACTGTTTCAATTCTTAAAAGTGTCAAGAAGTTTCAACAAGCATCTGAAAAGATCAATTGTTTACTTCGGGCAAAAGAAGTCTACATCCATCTCACTACATATCCACCCTCAGCTCCGGACCTTCCTCACTTTCTCAACCCCACCCATTCTTCACAACAATCACGATAAAGACGAGATGTCTGCAGTTCGAAGTACAAGCCGAGCCTTTGTAGGCATTCGCAGAACCGCCACTCAATTCCTACGAAGAGAGTTTGCGACAGTGGCAGATAGTCCTATTCGATTTTCCTGCAGACCCCCCGCAGCGCCCGCTCTGTTGTGTCCCTTCTCGATATCGGGGTCGCGACCTAGCACGAAGCAGATGTGCGAGATCAGACAGAACAGGAGATCTACAGCTGCCCGTCGAGAATTCTCTGCTACATCAAAAGCTTTACATGGGCATGTAACGCCCCCAAAGCCTGGGGAAGGGTGGGTCTTTTCACTTGTCAACATTTGCCGTTTTACCAATGCTAATTGACTTGCAGTTTACATGTTACATTCTTCGATAAGGAGGGAGATGAACATACTTTTGAGGTATCGGCAGGAGACAATCTTTTGGATATAGCACAGGCCAATGATTTGGAAATGGAAGGTTAGTTAAGTAGACAATTATCCTTGGACCATAAACTGATAATATTGATAGGCGCCTGTGGAGGGTCTTGCTCATGTTCAACATGTCATGTCATAGTCGAGGATGAAGCATTTTACGACAAAATGAATGAGCCGGATGATGATGAGAATGATATGTTGGATTTAGCGTTCGGTTTGAGGGAAACGTCAAGATTGGGTTGTCAAATTGTGATGTCAAAAGAGTTGGATGGGTTGCGCGTAAGGCTTCCTTCTATGACACGAAATCTCCAGGCCAGCGATTTCAGTAACAAGAGTTAATGCGGATGAGCGATACAACTTCATCACATGTACGGTCACGAATGGTTTGAGACATTATCCCTAAATAATGGTGTAGGGAAGCATTGCATTTGGGTCGTAGGTTGGACATATTAAAATGGGTATCTGTCCTTTGTACATATACTCCATATCAATGATGGACAAGGAGTTGGTGGATACCTAGGTACTTTGCTTTAACGAAACCCTCATGAGGGGTGAAATCCCACCTCTAACGCCATACCATGCCAAACGTAATTAGAACATATTCCATCCTTTTCAGGCCTCTTCGATCTCTCCTTTCCTCAGTCCACCTCCACCTGCAATCAAATCCAAAAATCCTTTCTTGCTCATCTCGTTTATTTTCTCCTCTCTCCTTCCCTGTCCTACAACTCCTTTTTGTCTCGCTTCCTTGGCTGCCTCCTCGCCTTTAACTTGGGCTGCTCTAACAGCATTAAAGAGTTTGACAACACCTCTTTGAGCAGTTTTCCTCAACCGCTTTTCCAATTCCATCGTTGCCTGTACACTTGGTACATTTTCTCCATTCCCATAACCATTGCTCGCATCAAATGCCGTACTGGCACCTAAAACGTCCTTGACTCTTCCCTTCTCCATTGCAGCTTTCTTCTCCTCCCTCATCTTATGCTTTGCCTTCTTTTCCAAGGCCAAATCCGTCATTTCCTTGCTAGCTTCTATTGCCGTCTGACTTCTCGACAAAACCGGATCATTTCTTTTACTCGCTGATAACTTGGATCCCAAAATCTTGGACATAGATGTCGCAAATGCCTCTGGATCATTGCGCTTTCGTGCCTTTATTAAATTTGGGTTTGAATTTGTGTCCGAATCGTCATCTGAATTTTCTGAATCGGAATTTGAGGCATCGGTGACTTCTTCTTCCAACTCGTTATCTGCGGCATTGAGATCTGGCTCATCATCCTCGTCGGATAAAGTGCCTGTGATTGCATCATTGGGTCCTTCCTCCTCTTCGTCTGAATCTTGTAAATTGACTGCTTGAAAATCTTGAGTTGCTGCGGATTCTTCTTCGTCGGATGAGGATTCGTAGTATGTTTGTTTCTTGAACTTCTTGGTAGGTCTACCGGTTTTTCCTTTTATTCCGTCCTCCACCTTACGCTTCTTCGAAACATTTCCTGCCATTGTTGTTGTTGTGATTGAATTGAGAGTTATTTTACTTTGAGCAATGGTTGATAGGAAAATTAAATCTTATCATATCCAGGAAATTTTTGGATTTCTCGGAGAACGGATAAACCTTTCGGTACACTAAATTCCCCGCGCTTTTATTGTCCCACACCTTCGAGCCACATTAAATCATTAAATGCATCCTTCTCATCTGGGGCCATACATTGAACTCTGTCAAAAAAGCTGTCGCATAAACTATTGTAATCATGGTTCTTCAAGATTTAGGTCGGCGCATAAATGCTGCAGTTACAGATCTCACAAGATCTAGCAATTTGGATGAAAAGGTATGTGTCAAGGACAATTGTCAAGATCTCTCAACGTTCCTCCTACTAATATCACTTAGGCATTCGATGGCATGATCAAGGAGATTTGTTCCGCATTGCTCGAGGCCGATGTAAATGTAAAATTGGTGGGAAACCTTCGAAAGTCCATTAAAGCATCCGTGAACTTTAAAGAACTTGCACCGGCTGTCAACAAGAAGAAAGTCATTCAAAAGGCTGTATATGATGAATTAGTCAAGCTCGTCGATCCTCATGCCGAACCTTTCAAGCCAAAGAAGGGCAAAGCGAATATTATTATGTTTGTTGGATTGCAGGGAGCTGGAAAGACTACGACATGTACAAAATTGGCAAGATGGTATCAATCAAGAGGGTTCAAGGCTTGTTTGGTTTGCGCGGATACCTTCCGTGCAGGTGCTTTTGATCAGTTGAAACAAAACGCTACAAAGGCTAAGATTCCATATTACGGTTCTCTCACACAAACGGATCCAGCAGTTGTGGCGAAGGAGGGGGTGGATAAATTTAAGAAGGAGAAATTCGAGATTATTATTGTGGACACCAGTGGAAGACATCGACAAGAAGATGCTCTGTTTCAAGAAATGGTGGATATTCAAACAGCTGTAAAGCCCGACCAAACTGTAATGGTGATGGATGCCAGTATAGGACAGCAAGCTGAGGCGCAAAGTAAGGCCTTCAAAGAAACCGCCGACTTTGGAGCTATTATTATCACAAAAACCGATGGTCATGCAAGCGGAGGTGGTGCAATCTCTGCAGTTGCAGCAACAAATACACCTATCATATTTATCGGAACTGGAGAACACATGCTTGATTTAGAAAAGTTCGCACCCACACAATTCGTTTCCAAACTACTGGGTATGGGAGATATGCAAGGACTTATGGAGCATGTTCAGTCTTTGAAGTTAGATCAAAAAGACACCATGAAGCACATCGTGGAGGGTATTTTTACAGTTCGTGATCTTCGCGATCAATTATCTAATATAATGAAGATGGGACCTCTTTCGAAAATGGCTGGTATGATTCCGGGTATGGGAAATATGATGCAAGGGATGGACGATGAGGATGGTGCCATGAAACTCAAACGTATGATTTACATTTGTGATTCTATGACGGCCAAAGAACTCGATTCAGACGGAAAAATATTCCTCGAACAACCCACTAGAATGACGAGGATAGCTTGCGGCAGTGGTACAAGTGTAAGGGAAATAGAGGACTTATTAACTCAACACAAGATGATGGCTGGTATGGCAAAGACAATGGGTGGAAGTATGAAGAATATGCAAAAAGCACAAGGTGCAATGGGAGGTGCAAACAAACAGCAACAAATGGCCGCTATGCAAAAGAGACTCGCTTCGATGGGAGGCGGTGGAGGCGGTGGAATGCCAGATTTGAGTAGCATGATGGTATGTTCCGTTCCATATTCTGATATCGAGTCACTGCTAACAGTCATTATAGAAAATGCTCGGTGGTGGTGGTGCTGGGGGCATGCCCGGTGGTATGCCTGACATGTCTAGTCTGATGGTATATCCTCTAGTTCATCTTCAATATTGATATTTTGCTAACGTGTCTTCAGAAAATGATGGGTGGTGGCGGAATGCCTGGAATGCCCGGTATGGGAGGCGCTCCAGCGGGTAGAGGGGGCAGAAGGTAATCTCTTCGTATCAATTGTATATCATCAAGGAACGAAGGAATCGGATGAGGACAAGGTACCTAGGTCAATAATGTATGCATTAAGCGACGGCGTTCAGGTAATGAAACCATTTGTCTGGGATAGATATTTGAATTATCGACCATTGAGATATTGACGAAATCTATGTTCTTGGATAAGCTCCATATTTCTGTAATCAAGTTTATGTTATTATAGGGGATTATCTGATGAACCATCTCAGAGTTCGCGTGCGCTGACAAAGATCCACGCAGTGTAAGACGACAAGTCATACGTACAAGTGCCACAACAATGAATTATGAGCCTATTCTTTGAGCCATCTTTTGGTAATTAATTATCCAGATTAATAGCTGGGCACATCTTGTCTGCGGCTCTTTTTTCTACCCGCTCCCTCCTTTCCCTTTCAAGTCCTTTCCATTTCCAAACAAAGTGGTATAGTTGGTATATATAACAAACGCCTTGCTTCGAGTTCCACGAAGTATCCTGGCATCCAGCCGTCCCTTTATTCATTCACAATTGCGCCATTTAAACCACCTCAAAAAATTTAGTATCCTTTCGTATCATCCATCCTAACCCCCACAGACGGATCGCTCAAAGCCCGCATCCTATCCCTATTCCTCTCCTCTTCATCTGTCCCCTCATCAACAAGACCAATCCAATCCTCCTCATCCCCTATAGCTCTCGATCCCTTTCGCGAATCAAGTGCACTCATTTCCCATTCCTCTCTGCCTCTTCCTCTACTCCATTCTTTCCTTCCCATTCCAGGTCGATTATTATTGAGAGAACTCAGCGATCCACCCACCGTGAATCTCGACGCCATTCTAAAATCATTTTGCGGCATCTCTTCTCCTCCTACTTTCCCATTTCCATTATTCCCCTGCAAACCCACAGCCGAGCTCTTTCTTCTCCCTCCAACCGTCGTTGCCTGACTCCTACTCGCAGTCACCGCGCTCTTCAACCACGTAATATCGGGCTCCATTTTCCTGACCAGCGGTCTCAGACACGGCGCACTAACACAGAACAATGCAGTGTTGAGTTCAATACTCGACCACGTTGTGATTTCCCACAGGTTCCACGTGTAATCTCTCTCGGTGAAAATGGGTTTAGAGCGAATGAAGCGAATGATCGAGGCGATGATGACGAGGATACCGAAACTGACGATCGCGACTAGCGTTGCTTTTTGACGTTTGTTGATTTTGAGGGGTACTTTTCGCAATTGTTAATCATTATTCTTCTCGACCAAAGGATATATGAGGATAAGGAAGATAATACATACACACTCTCGGTACGACAAAAAGAATAAGTGCCACATCACTGAAAACACTACAAGTGGTAAAAGTAATGATTCCCGGCAAGGGATCAATACAACGAACTTGTTCCACGCTGAAATCCCACTGCGAAACGATTGGATCGCATTGGAAAACAACAATCAACGTAAGAGGAATCGTCGATACAATCTGGAAAGCCAATAGACTGTATACAATGATTTTGCTCAGTCGATCTTGAAAGATTCGTGAATAGACCAGACAGATGGCAACTCTTACCATCATAAGAGATACTTGGTAGAGGATTCGAGACACGAAAGCGAGGATGAAGAAAGGTTTTAGGTCTGACGGGGTCTGGAGTTCAACGTGACGGCCGCCGCCATAGCTACAGAAGAGTGCATTGGTGACTGCAACAAAGATGGTGAGGATCTAGTCGGGATGTTAGAGAGGATGGACAATCAAGAGACTTTGTAATGTAATGGAATATCGTACCCATGCTATTACAATGCAAAAATCATCCCATCCCCAATTTCTCGTGATGACTCCCCGAGTATAGAGACGTCCAGCCACGAACAGCGTACCCAAAGCTGTTGGCACTATCGTTCCTACAAGTAGCAAATGTACTCTTGTCTCATTTAATTCACCACCCTGATTTTTCGTTAGTATTCGGTTATGCAACGAAGCTATATGACACGCTTTTTTTGATTGATCCCAACAGCTACTATACAAGTCGGATTAAGAACTTAAAAAGGCACTAGCCCTCACAGAGAGATTACAATGAAAGAGAAAGCTCTACTTACTGAAGACATTACCAGCAAAGATAACTTGCATTCGACGAGCCAGGGTAAGATGTCAACATTATCGATATGACACAAAATATGGGGAGAAGAACCCTTTTCATAATCCAAACCGCCTTAAGTTTCCTTTCCATTCTGAACGAAAAGCCCCAGGGCTTCCTACTCCGAACTTTAAGAAAAGTCCTCACACAAGGTTGGTGTTGGGATTGAGTCTGTGCGATGAACTTTCCTCGTTTGTACACAATATCCATCGTCCATGATGCGCGTATGAAAATTGAAACTTTATTCTGTATACCACAAACTCGCTATTTTGGCTCACTCTAGATCAGAAAGCCGTGCGCATTTGCACGAATTCGCGAAATGAACTGTGTATGGAACGAGAGGATTCTTGCCAAGCATAGAAATAAGAGTTTCACGGCAGACGATCATGGGGTAACCCTAACCATTCCAATAAATCTCCACATTAATGCGGGGGTTTATAGGGCAGGGGAACATTTTCCGTTGATGGTTTACTCGTGTGAACGGGATGCGGATACTCGTTGACATATCCGGGTATACGAGTACTTATTCCTCGATCTTATACCTGATGTATTATACGAGTAGACCTCGAGTAATACAAACAAACTTTGCAGCTTTTCCGGATCAACCAAAGCACACTTACATTGTGCTAGTGAAGCAGTGGAAGGATTGCAATCTCATAAGGTTTGCGGCTTGCCGTTTAATACGATTTAGAGCTGACATGTAAGATTACCTTGGAGTATTCAAAGATCATATTATACCCAATCATGGAGCCCAATCGTAGCGAATATCTACCTTACAACAAAACATGAGCAATCTTTGTCGTTTCTATTAAATAATTTGTGGCCATGTAATTCGTTCAGAAATCTACGTAAGAGATCTATTACGGGCAAACGAAGCTCCTGTCCCAGGTATAAAACTGTTCTTACCAAAAGTAGTTCAGATAGCGAAACTGGTTTCTATGATGAACTTCAAGTCGATGTTTGAAGGCGTGTTTCAGGGATGAACGTTGACAAGCGATGAGGTGCTGAAACGGGAACAAACTGCCGGAGAATTAAATCATTTTAGCGAACAGTAGAATACACTAGTTATGATAATTAATATATTATAGTTGTGGACAGGAGACTTTTAGGATCAATCGTACCCGAAATACGAATCCTACAAGCAGCGTTATTGGAAAATCGGCTAGGAGCAGCGTTAGTGAAGATGAGATGTCGAACAGTATTTAGCAGGCAACTTTACCCAACATCATTCGGTGAGAATCATACCATTGAAGTTTCTAAAGGCGTTGTTTGCAAGGTCAAGATGACTCCATGAAATCGGGAGTAGATGATGAAGAACTTGTTGCGCTTTGACTTCTTGAAAAAATCGGGTTTTATTGTTCTACCTAGGTATGCATTCTATTATAGGGAATTTGAGGATTGAAGGATCATCTTGAAAAGATCCAAATCTTTCTTCGCGTCTTGCACACTTGTCTTAGGGGTCTTCCCATTGATAACGCAATCATGAAAATCTAAAAATTCCAAAGTATATGGATCCTCATATGTTTTCCTCACAGTTCTTTCCTGGTATCCCGATTCACCAATTCTTTCCCTGATTGTCATCGTGACAGGAAGTCCTTTGATATATCCACTGTCATAATTGACCCGAACGATCTTATCCTCCGAATATACTTCTAGATGGGCGTCGAATGTTGGAACGCCATGAACACCCGACTCATATGTTACAGCAAAGCCGTCAAATTGGAACAAGACCGTCCAAAATGGTAAGCTCAGAGATGATCCCAGCACTCTTTGAGGCATGCCACCAAGTATTTCTCTCATTGCACTCAAATCATGAGTAGCGAGACTAGAAAATCAGTAAGTGTCTTATGTAAGCTGGAGCTGTGTAGGGATATTACATTGAAAAGAATCCGAAAAACTCCTTGGCCGCAGGAGTAACGTCCATCTCATACTCTGTCCCAAGCGCGTGAATAATCTGTTCATTCAGAACCGCCGACATAGCTTCGGAATCCGCCTGCTTGTAGTCTGAGAATTTCTTAGGGAATGTCGCCGATTGATCAACAAAATTGCTGTTGTGTCCGATGATATCTCTGACACGGGCATATTGAATCTTGCCGAGGCCACCTACTTCCTTCACGGCATCAACGAATGCCTGAGCGTAGCGTCTTTGATACCCAACAAAGATCTTGCCTGCCGATCCCTTTTCGGCTTCTTCAAGCTGCTCAATATCTCTGAAACATAAGCACAATGGCTTTTCTACTAGGGTGTATTTATCATTATGTAGGGCAAGTATGGCCTGGGACGCATGGAAACCGTGTGCGCTTGTTATCAGAACCACATCGACATCGGAAGACGAACAAAGCTGTGCCGCATCTGTGGTTATTTGGGGGTGCTCCCAGCAACTTTTTTTGAACAATGCTCCAGAGCAGCTTCAGAGGGGTCACAGAGGTATGTAATGGTGAAATAGTCGGATAGGTTATTCAGGACTGTGATATGTGAGACCTGTGTTCGAGAGAGTTAGTTGCGTTGGCTGCAGATGTTCCTGGATGATAATACCTGTGCAATCTCCCCAAGCCCTATGATTCCAACTCGTAGTATTTCAGGCATTTTTGTAAGATGTGTGTATGGATGATTTGCAAGTGATTTGATAGGACTGTTTGTCGATAGGACCAGTACTTGATAGGCTGATGAATGATAGAACTAATACTTGATGGGACTGATAATGATAGGACTGGTACTTAAGGATTGTTCTTAAAGATTGAATCTTAACAGAACGGGATTTTCAGAAAAGGAAGAAATTGCTAGAATTTCGGGCCGATGAAGGAAAGAATTACCTAGTAGTTGAATAAGGAAGTGACGATAAAAAGTAGCTCACAGCGATATTGAGTATCCGTAGCTTCCCAATTTGTTAATCTACAAAAGTAAATGAATATTATACCTGATATCGAACAAATCTGATGAAGGGGGACAACCGAAAATGCAGTATCGCATCATAGATCCACGATAGTGGGGTGGGCATATCTGTGATCTGGCTATGGAACTTATCTTTGATGAACGACACTTCGAGTGAGATCAATGTGAAATCACGATCTCGTTCACTTGATGGGAGACAAGTCTGTTCCATGTTGTCTGAATATCAAAGTGTACAATGTATGGATGTCATTTTCCTTAGTTTTTATGAAGCTTCTTCACTATCATGTGGTTTCTGGTCGATGGTCCGTGCTCTCAGAAAGTTATGTAACACTCTTATAATTCTCAGACACCATCAATTGAATGAAAATCGTTCAAAGTGATAGGAGAGACTCTAAGATGCCAAATCAACACCTGGCAGTTGTTACAACTTCAAATCAATATGAATTTTGTCGTCCAAATCATGACATGGATCGAATCAATTCTTGTATACTACGACTGGAGCCCCGTCCAAGGCAAGTTTTCACAAATAAACCACTCCATCTTGACGAACCGCCAAAGTATACCTAGTATATACTAGCAAAAGGCTCAAGTTGAATATTAATTTCTATAAACTATATTGGATATCTTCCACAAAACTGTATGAGCAAATCGGAAAGTCTTATCATTTACACCATTTCCATCTCACCTCGCAAGAGATACCTCTCACACGCCATATGAAATGCCCCTCATGAACATCTCATGACTCTGATGAATGGCCAAAATCTTCTCACGAACAATCTTGATCGAAACCATCATCATAATTTGAACATTCTCATCATCTTGTGGGACTGATTTCTGTTCCATGACTTGGTCTCCTCGGCTCACTACCTAATTCCACTCTATTTACATTTAAAGGATCCAGAGCAGTTGCGTCTAGCTCGGAGTATTGATGGCCTGGATCGCTATATATTTGACTATTTGAAAATCTATGTGTATTGCTGTTCGGTGAAATAGGGACATCATCTTTCGGTGGCTGATAATACTCGGGTATAGCAGGAGGGATATACACAGTATTCGCCAATTCAGTTTTATGTTGCATAGGATAAGCCGGTTTTGCAATACTGGTACGATTATCGTAGAATGGCGGAGGTGAATTTGGCGGCACTCCTTGATATGGGTTATTAGGATGGGTTGTTGAGACTTGAGGTGGAGGCTGTGGTTGTGAGGGATTTGATTTCTTCTTTCTGACAAAGAAAACGATGGCAAAAATTAAGAGCGCAATTACTGCCACGCCGCCAACAGCTCCACCGATAATAGCTCCTAGTGGAACTCCAGATTTCTTGTGAGCTGTTGTAGTTGCAAATGGAGTTGCCAGTGACGATGAAGATGCTGAGCTACGTGAACCTGCGGAGGTTACTGAACTACGTGCACTTGCTGAGGTCACTGAACTTCGAGAAGCGCTGCTTACATCCTGAGCATCATCTCCGCTTTGAATGCTGCTCGCTACTGAGGCGACACTTCGAGATAAAGTGACAGAAGACACGACAGTCGTTGAAGCAGTACCAGTGATTGGGTAATCGGACATGAGATAAAATGCCGGAGACGTTACGCAGCGATACATGCTTCTTTGAGGGTTGTTCCAGAGGAAAGTTGCGCAATAAGGGAAATCGGAATCGTTGCAGCATCCTGTTAACCCGTCTGCTAGAGCACAAAGCGCCGAGGACGAGGAGTAGTCAATGCAAGCGGTGAATATATCGCAAGAATTAATATCTCCAGTACAGCATCCGACAGCAGAATACGAATTATGGGCACAGTAGCCTGCTCCAGAACAAGTATAAGGTTCCGCTTCATGTTGTTAGTATATAGTCTATTTGTATGCGAATTTGACTGTTGAAGTACTAACATTGAATGCCATTGTAGTATCCGCAGGTATTATTCGCAGTTGTTTGACGTTTCAATAGATCCAACACCTTCAGAGCATTGTTAGGAGCTGCTGTTGGACTCGGACTCCACCCTCCTTGCACCGGTGCTCGATTATCAGCAGTAGATGTTTGAACTGCTGGTGTCCAGGGAAGCGCCTTCGCCAAAATTGCTGGCAAAAGACTCGAGCTCACCAGAAACAACGAAAAGATCATTTTGTGCTACAAAAATTAAATGACTACGAACGATTTGGGCGACTGACATTCAAGATCTACAATTTACGCATTGTGTTTCGAGGGGAAGAAAAGCTCAAATAAATTCTCAACGGCTCGAAACCCCTACTATCCTACTGCCTATTGTACAGCACAGAAGAAAAATTGATCAAATCAGCTCATGATATTGATGGGGGTTGAGGCTCGTTTTTATGCAGCCAATTTTCTACCATGCTTAAAATAAGCATCATTTCCAGCCTCACGTCTGAATAAAGTTTAAGGTTCCTCCGGTTTCTCAATGTTTAAGCCCGAAAGGATCAATTTGCGGGATGGGAATTGATTTGATTGGGAATTTTGGGGGGCTTTTGGTGGGGAATCTTTCAGCTGTCAGTTGAACTAGTGAACGCCACGAGAATACGGGTCCGTAGTTGGTGAGACATTCTTGGTTGCAGGGGTCAACACGGGAGCACTCTTTTTTCACGATAACATTCAGTCCGCAGATGATCTTCTGAACGGGCTGACTCAAGAAAGATTCGGGAAAGCTTTTTCTGCCTCGCAGGATTCTGGTGGAGGAGTACTTGCGAAAAACATGGTATGTATATAACTGCCTATTGCGGAGCTTCAACGCTCTTTGAACAAATAAGGTTCCCTTGCATAACTTAAGCTGCAAGTGTAATAAAATCACTAATAAGCTCCTGCTGCAGTCGCAAAAAATTCCAGGCCTTTTTCAAATGATAAATCCCATATCAGATGCTGCAAATGCAAGTGCATCAAATTGTAATTCCAGTTCGCGCAAATCCCCAAATTTTTCCTTTCAACTCTCTTCACTGGTTTGCCAATGTAGAAGCACTTGGAATTGCGCTGACGTGCAAGACACACTCATGACCATCTTGGTTTTTAACGGAGCATATCTCTCCTTCTCTGATACGCCACATCCCACCTTTCGATATGCGAAATTTCTCGAGACCGAGGAATACCCATATGCTACCTTGAGCTACTGAACATACTTGTAGTCCAGTGCCTTTGCTCTTTAAGATGAAAGTTTCACGGTTTTTGATGTGCCAAATGTTAAAATTGACGCCTCCTACATTGATACCTTGATCTTGTCGCATGGGAGATCGGATGTAGTTGTGTGAAAATGCTATATCTAAGTGGGCAGAAACGCATTAGCAATAATTAAGATATTAAAATGGGAAATCGGTGAATGTAACTCACTTTCTTCTCTTTGAGCATCCTTTTCCATTGGATCACCGATCATTGCTCGAATCTTTCCAGTGCTAAACTCCCATTCGTCATCCTTAGGCTTGGGATCGGCTGATTTGGTTGTTGGTTTGGCGGGTGGTGGTTGAGTGGCCTGTGGACTAGGAACTTGTGTTGAGAACGTTGGTGGTGGTTGAGCAAAGGTATTACCAGTCGAGCCACGTCTCTTTCTGAAGGGTGAAGCTGGAGGTAAAATTGGAGTCGAGGTTTTTGGAGGAACATACAGTGGATTCATCCGACTCGGAGAAGGCTGTGGGAGAATCGGAGGTGGCGGACCATGGCTTGAGGATCTTTTTGGTCGGGTGGGAGGAAGAATTGGACTTGATGTTGGTGGTAAGATTGGACTGTGAGATCGAACAGTTAAGGTAGATGTTTCGCGCAGAGCTGAATCACCATTCATCTCAAACCTTTCAGTTTCTGCCTCCTCTTCCTCATCAACAACGTGCGGTGGGCGATAGTTACTGCTGGGTTCTTCAAAATGCACGCTCTTAAGCTTCTTCGTCTTCTTCTTCTTCTTATATTGAGAATCACTAGGAGGTGGTAAGATGGGCTCTCCTAACTCCACGCTCATATCTCCCAAGCCCCCGCTCATTGATGTGTCTTCTTGTTGCTGTGATTGAGAAGACTTGTGCTTCGACTTCTTATGGTGGGTTTTCTTTTTCTTATGCTCTTGTGTTCGATTGTCTGGAGTGCCATTTGCATTTGGACTTTTGGAGCTAAGATCGTGAACCTGATCGGGATCATGTTCGCGTTTGACGCCTTTGTTGGGACGGTACCCGCTGCTGCCGGGAAGAAGAACCATTGGGTGCGCTGTTATGTTTGAGTTGAATTGTTAGTTTGATTCTTGTTTTATCAAGTTGGATTGATATAAGATATGGGTGTAGTTTGCAGGAAAGAAATGGATAGGAAGAGAGGAATGCGCAAAGGTGCGAATTGCAAGGCAAGCAAAGATCGGTTCAAAGTAACTTACACATCTTTGATAAATCCGTTGCGCACACGCGTTCGTATGCAATGCGACGAGTTAAAGCTGTTGCTCCTTTAGTTGTTGAAGTTGTAAAGAAAACAAGAGGATAGAAATTTTCAGACGAGAGATGGGAAGACGAGAAGAAAGATCGATTGCGATTCTCAGTTTTGGAAACTGAATTCTTTTCCTTTATTTGACCTATCTTGTTTTCTTTTTCCTTCAAGAAGTGAAACTTTGAATTTTTTATTGTTGACCTCGGACCTGAAAATGATAGTGAATCTGATATATTTTTGGTATATCTTTGGCGGGTAATTTTGATTGGCTGAGATTTGTTTGTTTCGTTTGTTGTTGGCAGGGAGTACCTAGGTACCTCCCTAGTAGGTATACAAACAGGTATATGGGATATGGGATGTCGCATGGCTTTTTTATGGTATGTTTGTAATAACAATCATATATCAATCGCCCGAGTGCTCCTCTCTAAGCTTTTGCTTCCATGGTGCCAATCCTTTTAAATTTTTAGAATCTGAGATGCTATTGATAGTATTGCGCTCTTCTTGAAGGCGTATGATGTTTGGATCTTAGTAGTTTCTACATCCTCATTTTTTCGAACTTCAAAAAACAGCCTGATCGACACAACTTATCAGGATATCTTCTCCGTTGGGATGTTTCCATTGGCAATGTTCTCTGCTTGTTGATTATCTAAGACAAGAGGACATATACTGTCGCCGCGTCCACCTCCAAGTTCATTGTCTCCTTGTCGAACGAAGTCAGATCGGTTGCATGGCGTGTTTTTGTCATTCAAATCAAGATGCTGCGTGAACAACGCTGTGCCAAGTGCTTGCCAAACTTTGGCGTTTCCCGAGTTTCCAACTTTACGCAGTAGAAGAGCTCTCGAGACCCCGCTGATCCAACAAACAAGGTCTTCAGGTCGGGCCTGGCTTGTCGCAATTCCCATTTTCTAGGGGTCGCGGTAGTAGTTCTTGACGAGGAATAGATTTGTGCTAGGAGCCGTCGTTGAGATATCTTGTGATTTAGCAGAGTATTCGGCTTGCACTTGGTTGATCTTGTACTGGTAAACAAATTCTGGGGCTCTGTAATAGCTACACGACTTTTTCCAAGACACACTACTCATGTGACTGAAAGCAATTGATTCTAGTTCGGCATTTTTCGACTCTGAAACATAGTTTATCAGTTCATCGCTCTCACGATGAGCTTCACCGAGCTCTTCTGGGAAATTCTGAAAAATTTCAGAGTCCCGTTGATCGGCCTTTTGCATATTCGGAACTATCTCCGTAGAGAAGGACCGACAGCTACTATGCATCCGACGACATAGCCTTTGAGTTCAAATACTTTGGGACTTCTATTTTTGGTATCTTCTATGCAGAGGGTCGGAATAGATTGCGAACAGTTCAATGGTAGAGCTTGTTCAAGGAGCCCCTAGTCGGCTCCTTCAACAGACTCTTAACGAGTCCTCCAACAAGAAATATATGGTCACTCGAAAGACTTCCATCAAGATTGAAAAACTCCATTGTATCCGCCCATACTTCGACCAGAGTTCTGCTGTAGTCCATGTGAAATCCGATGGTATCAGCTGCAGACCAACTAAGCCGTATATCTTATCTCTTGGCTCCGTGCATAAAGCTTCTCGATGATCACACAGGAGCTTGCGAGAAATATGGGCACCAGAATGTTTCTCTAGAAGCAGTGAGTTTAACCTCAAAGGTCCCTCATTAATATTCTCGTGCAAAGTTACCATTTCGATGAATGCCTTCCAAGACATGGCAATTTCACCAAAACGAACTTCTATCTGCCGTGCTCGTCCAATCTCTTGAACTATTCATAACCTGCTCCAGTATCCATCAGCGCATAGCTCTTTATCCATCTCTCGCTCCTCATTGTCCGCATTGTCTTTTGGCCCTGTAACCAATGATTCGAGCATTTCCTCCGACCGAACCGAAGTCTCTGAGGTGATATCTGATGCCTGCGAACCTTCTGATTGTATGTTTTCAAAAACGACACGATCATTTCGAGCTCTGGCCACCTGCTTGTATCTCTCGCACTTCTTTCCCAGCCACACAACAACGGTTTCTGCTTGGAAATATATCCATTTCATTATCATCAGTTGCCTATTCCGTTCAGGAATATCGTTTTGATTGACGCAAATCGCATGGACCCAGAACTGCGACTGCATTCCCGATTTGCGAAGGTAATGGAGAGCATCCCAAAGATTTTAACGAACTTGAAATTCAGCTCCATTGAGCATGATTGTTTCATTTGCAGTACCGTCTCCCCACATGTATGACAGCGCTCTGAACCTAGACTTTCCGCCAAATTCGGTACTGACCAACTTGCACGACAGCGTATGGTTCTCATTCAGAGACGCTTCTATCGTTATAAGCGGAAAAGAATCACTATCAGAATCCGAGTCCAGTGGCTCGTAAGTGAAAGATCCAAGGGGCTGAGATGCATCGTCAATAAATGGAATAGACTCTCCATCATTTCGATATCGTGCTTGACTGGCCGCCATGATGCTTGTTGATACTTTCACTATTTGCTGATATCAAAAAAGACAGTGTTATTATGATGAGATGAATGGACTTCCTAGATACACCAATGTCGGACTCCCAAGATTATGTGTTTGCTTGCATGCCCAAGCTTTAGTGGTGTGTAGTGTTGCAGCTCAGCCGAGTTTCCTAAGCTGGATATGGTTAGTGTTAAAGCAAGACCGATAGGCTTGCTGACTACTCTGATTGTTAGATCTTTCAGAACTACACTTTAGCATATGAATGATGTTTGAACTTTGCTACGGGAAAAATTAACAGTTCGCTCTGTAGCGATTTTACTCCACGGGGCTTGCTCGTCAGAAGGAAAAATGTTTTCATATCTTCGTTGCCGTGGTTCTAGCGAGCTAGAGCTATCTAGGTAGGTAGTTAATAGAGAGATTTCCCTGGTATATCAACTCACCAGAATATTCTCGTTTGTGTCAAATAAAAGGTAGTATGCATGGACCCGTAGATTTTGAAAATGAGCTCAATTTAATTAACTACCTAGGCACTAACATTTCATAAAAACAATAGGAAATCAAAAGCAGAACGATCCAGACACAATGATAACAGAGATATGAAAACAAGACAAGGAACTAGGTGGCCACCTAGTGTGCAAATCTAATGGCAGATCCACAATGAAGTCAACTTTTGATTGATCCTTTTCGAACTGCTATATCGAGAACTAGATACTTTAAAACTCTCTAATTGCAGATTAAATTACTGGTTCTTTTATCAAATATATAATGAAAATTATATCTATAAAAAAGCTATAAAGGTATTAGTATTATTTTCTAGCAAACAGGAATGGTTTTCTTATATTGATATATTTACCCTCAGTTTGGGTATAGAATACATTATTTCCATTTATATATATATATATATATATATATAGTTGTAATTAATACTAAGAAGATTAAGAGAAAGCTTGATATTGACTTTTCTAATAATACTAGTAGGGTTTCTAATAGAGTATCCCTTATTATAACATATAACAACAGAATATTTATTATAATCTGGGTTTCTGGATTATATATTAGTAATAATTGTTTGAATAAATTTCTTATAGATCTGGAAAATATTATTAGTATTATTTTATATATAAAAGTTTTTTTGAGGTTTTTATATTTGAAAAGCAATTTATGGTATTTCAATTTCCAAGGTTTGAAAGGGTTTGTTGATTAAACTTAACAACAATTTTGATTAAGATAGCGATACCCTTAATAGTGGTGATTCTAGTTATAGCTATAACTAACACAACACGCTTTTGAAATTCTTGAATAGGCTTATCGTCAACCTTTACCATCAATGATTTAGAGGCATCAAATTGTTTGCTGAAGTGATTTTCAATTGAATCAGGAACAATATTGTTGGGGGCAGTGGAGAGTGGGGTGTCAGTAGAAATTGTAACTGCTGCTTGTGGGAGAGCAGCTCCTTGTATAATAATAGCATAAGTGAGGAGAGTGATAACCGAGAACTTCATTTTGATGGTAGTGAGTGATTGATTTTTCTTTGAAAAGAGAGAATGGATTGGAAAATGAATGTCAAGTGAATGTGAAGTGAGTATGTTTGGTTTGTTTGTAAAGTGAGTGTAGAATGGATGTGATAATGATAATGATAATTCGAATTAAAGGGGAAACGAGAGAGGTTTATATACTCTTCGATCCTGATATAACTTTCATCCTCATGGATCTAGTTCATCTTGTCTGTCCATGTTGAACACCAAGGTAGTTCAGGACAGAGTCTCTTCTCACCGCACTCATTTAATCACCTTGATATTGCACCAAAGAGTCCAAGGAAACTCTATTTCTATGGCAAAATACCATCTTCTTCTCCTTGGCAATGAAAACCAGGTTGTCTTGCAAACACAGTAAAAGTTTATTACCACTCTAAAGATTACTTGGGCGCAGTAAAATGAAGACTTTGGAGGAGGAAGAGATTGGTCTGTATCTTGGCGACAATGCTCGCGAATTTCTGTGGTGGACTTTCACAAAGGAGTGAAGAGTTATTTTCGTCGCGAAAGTGGTTTCACGATAGCTCGATGGCTGTGCCATTTTACTTTAGTAGTCACGTGATTCTCCAGAGGAGGGGTAGTTTGGGCCAAATCAAGAGAAGATCCACTTTAGCTAGAGCTTGGACAACTATACAGAACATACCTTCTTTGGACAAGTTTGATGATATCGCATAGTTTCTTCATTTGCAATTCTTCGCTAGCGTCTTGGACTTTAGTGGTGTTTGCTGGTTCGCTGTGCTTAGAGCGTTTGACGAGTGGTGGTCTGGTCTAACTTAACCGAGCTTAACTCACAAGCTACCGCTAAGACGGATAGCTCCGAAACGTGGGATTTAATTTAGCTGGGGGCTGAAATTCCGAGGTAGTGGACGAAGAGAACCAGTGCACCAAAAGCTTCCACATTCAAATTCTTTATCAAATCAATCTATCAATATTCTCGATTATGAGCTGAGCTCGGATCTCCATTGATAAGCTTATGATCCGTAATTCGTCTTTACCTTACTACATCTGTTATGGTTCTATATGTTGTTGTTCGATCTCAAAATAATACTACCTGTAAGAGTCTCCATTTTGACGAGCTTGGTGCGGCGTTCTTCTTTCACGGTGAGGTAGGTAAATTCGGGACCGGTAGTTTGAACCCCCTTAAAGAAGCACGCAGAAAATTAGTTGAGGTGCTCATCCCTGTCAGAGAGTTTGCTAAGAATAAAAATTTGATGATAGAACATCCTTTCGAAGACTTAGTTTAGCCTTGGAATTCAAGACTTTAATTCCCAATTTGGAAAAAGTCGAGAAGATTTAGAGTTTATGAACCCTTTAAGATGGGGGACCTGGAGACCTTGATGGCTGTGCTCTGAGGGTGAAGCCGCACTATTCCCATTGCGCTAACCCCAAAATATGATCCATCTAGACACGAAATGGAGGACTGCAGTTACCTGGCAAGGCTTTGGTACTTTACAACACAATGCCCATCAACACGCATTTGGAGAGATTTTTGACTTTCTCTTGGAAATGTGAATGATAGAGGATGTGCAATGAAATTGTAACGTTAAGAGTCTTCTTTAGATATCTCCAAGCTTTTCAAGTCTCTCGTGATTCTTCAAAAAATTTAAAAGTACGTCCTTCCAATTTAGGATGTATTCAAAATAACCTTTCCAAGCGCAGTATGACTATGCAAGTTGGGGTTAGTGGCTCTTGGTAGGAGCGTTTGACGAGATGCTCTTGGTTCCTGAGTACCGAGGAATATGCCGAAGGGGCGTGCAACAGGTATCAGCTTCAAATGAAATCATCAAAACCCAACGGGATGAACTCCTGTTGATTTTCTGAAACCTTGCTCTCCTCGTGTAAATTCTTATCTTCTCGTATTACATATGTGAGAAACAAAAATCTCCTTTCCATCTCTTTTATACTTTCGCTATTGAGAACCTGGAAACTCAACCCGTGACTTTGAAACAAGAACACGAGGGGATATGAAAATTTTATCTTGGACAATTAGGATCTGAACTCAAGGTATCAGATACGGGTGTGAAGCGTGGGTAATATCCGTTGAGGTGAGGGGCTGGTGGTGGAATGGGTATGTAGAGAGAGACTTTAGAGCTGATGTGGAGATGTGGAGATTCCAGGGTTGGGATCTGCTGGGTAAATTTCCTACATTTCTGGTTAGAAAATCGGGCAATAATTTGACTTATTGAATGCCCAGCAATTTGAAGTGATGTTAACGGATTTGTTCAGGTTAATTCAGTCAAGATTAGGGAGATCGTGGGAATACACATAATCTGTTTGAGTGTGACCTAAGAAACGACTTTTCTGGATTTCCAGAATTCCCTCCTGTTCAGAATTTTTCTCTTTTCTTCTTCCCTTCTTTTCTTCTCTTCTCTCTCTTCTCCCTTCACATTTCTTTACTTCTTCCATTTCTTTCTTTCCCTTCTCATTGTCTCTCTTTATTATATGGTCTATCTGTTGCGGATTCGAACACATAGAGATGGATGTACCTATGAACGTATATATATATATTCACTCTCGGCGCATTACATTGGTTTGACAACCTGTTTGACAAGATATACTTCATTCTTTACCCCTGTTAGTCACACCTGGTTCTTATGGAATTCTGCACTCGCTATATGGGCGTAGAATGAGTCAAAACAATCATAACACTACACGTACATGCGTCTACACATCTTCGATCCATCCATAAATCCAGTACCATCATTATATTAGCATACTAGACCTTACATATAGACAGATCATACATAATTAATCATTGCAACAACTTTGAGACTGCTATAAAATTCTAAATTTCCTGATTTTCTGACAAGTGATTTGATACATACAAGTAAAAACCAAAAGATAATTGACTCTATATCACCTTGTCCCATCATTCTTCCCGAAAACATTTATCTCACGGCACATTATATTTCTACCAAGATAAGAAATCAATCATCCTATCCAAAATCAGTAAATACAGCCAGAGAGAAAAAAGCGTAAGCCACAGCTACAGATCCACATCACCCGATATCGGCAAGCCATCAAAATTCCTTCCATCTCGCTTAACCACACCCAACCCCTTAGGAATGTAATCTCTCCCGAACCCCAACGCCACGATTGGGAATGCATTCTTTAAGAAATTTGCTAGCCCCTAAGTGAATAAAACAATTACTGATGATAGAACAATTCCTCCATATCTTCTATAGAAGTAAGACCTCCCGCCTTCTATTTTTTTTTTTTTCTTGATCTCTCTCCGTCATAAGTAAAATATTCACCCAGCCACTTTTCCTGTGTGCTCTGTAACAAAATTTCACCTGATGCGGCGAAAAACATGATGGTTATCTTATTTTTGATTTCCAGGAGCGGAAAGAAAGGATTTGAAAATCGTCATGATAATTGAACAATTGATGATTGGGAGTTATGGTGATGCATTTGGAGATTTGCGTTTGGATGTAAATGGATATACAGATAACTATGATGATTAAAAAGATTTCCATCATTATCGTCATCATCCTATAATTTTCATCTCCCTAATTTAAAACACATACTCGTACATTAGATCTTACTACAGATGACATAACCACTCAACCCCATCCCCATCTCAACCCGTTCCTCAGCAACGCTCCGCGCCACCATGACCAAAAAGCCCTACCCCGTCCTTGCACCCCGCGGCCAAATTCCCATCACGCATCTCCCACACCTTACACCATCACTTACCCCACGAATCTCGCTCACTCAACGTATTTTAACACCGCTTATTGTGTGCGCAACATTGGTTATTCTGCTGCTGTGTGTTGTGACAGGTATTGTGTTGACAGTTAAGATTTTTGGGGATGGGCATGCGCTTGCGCTTTTGTTGAGAGTTGGGACGGGGTTTGTGGTTGTTGGGGTGAGTTATGTTTTCTTGATGTTTTTCTTCCCTCCTCCGCTCCCCCCACCCGAGAGCAATTTGTTTTACAAGGACTTGGTTGTATTTTTAGCGAGAGAAGAATGAACAGAGACGAGAGTGAACATGGAGCAGAAGAATAAAAAAGAGATCTTATTTACAGCATAACAATTACTAACACATTCCAGTCCTCACTCACTCTCATCTATCTCATCCTCCATATTTCCGCCAGTATTCAAAACAATCCCGTAGGTTTCGTGCGTCCTCCAGAGTTGAAACTGCACGCGTATAGCTTCATTACTGCGCGCGGTACACTTGTCTCATGGATGCTATCAATCATCGTATCCAGCGTCGTTGTATCGAAATCGAAAGTGTGTGTTCCAGAAACAACGGATTGTAAGGTGCAGATTGGAGGGCTGGTTTTGAGTTGTGTTGGGTTGTGAGTTCTCTTTCTTCTTTCTTCCTGTGTATTGTATGGTGTGATTGATATCATGAGTGAACTTCACGTGATACAATGCAGGAGGAGAATTGTTGTTAGACCTAGCTAATATTTCACCACTACAGTGTAGCAACAGGAATCATCCTCACCGCTCTCGAAGCCTGTCAATATCCTTTCCAACTCCCGGCCCGTACCAACCTTCTCCAAGACGGAGAAATCAACTGTCGAGTTTCTTCCTTCGGCGACGATCTCGTAGATAGCAAACTCACCTCCCTCAATCCCTCTGCTGCAAATATTTTGCAGTCACATTTGGCCAGTGCATCAGCTAGTGCCGATTCCATACCATCGCTTCCTGACGATTACCTGTTTATGGGAAACGAAAGGGAAGAGTGGGAAAAAACTTATTCGCTTGCGTTAGCGAAGGAGAGAATTACTAGAGAGACGAATATTAAGAGGAAACCTGTGCCTACTGAAATAGCAATAGAAGAGGGACTACCAAAATCTGAGTCTCAGATTAGTGTGAATTCTATGCCAGGGGAGTTTCCTGAGGAAAGAGAAAAGATTGTGCCGTTAAGACCGAGATATACACCTATCTCTGAACCTGTCTCTACGCCTTCATCTACACCTGTATTATCGCAAGAAAAAGAGAAAGAGAAGGAAAAGAGCAAGGGCTGGGGAATTGGCTGGTCATATCTCACAAGAGATACGACCACAAGCTCTAGTACTGCAACGGAATCAAACGATAACGAGAAGTGCGTAACTCAATCTGATTCAGCGATATCATTGGGTGTCCCCTCAAATCCCAGTACCGGGCATAGTACGTGCGGCACTTGCGAGCATCCAAACTCGAAATCTCCCAATCACTTTATATCGCAGAGAATAGGCAGACAAAGGAACGTAACACCGAGTAGTAGTATAATCGACGCTTCAATGCGATCTCCATTATCCACCATGCGGTATGTATTTACTATTCCCAAAAAACAATCATATTAACGAAATCAGAACCGCCGAGTCTCCAGAAATAGCCATCAAGCCCGATGTCGCTTTAGTTCCAACCACCATTCCTTCTTCATTGGATCGAATATCTCCCCGAAAACCTCCTATTACTCAACCGTTACCAATTGCAATTCTGAACGAAATGATGATAAGGAGACCTTCCATTCCTGCTCCTTCTAGAATGCCAGGAGGATTTACGAAAGAATATATTCAAGCACCTCCTACGCATATCACACCTCTCAAAAGGAAACCAGTGGAAAGCAATAAAATTCTCAACCATCCGCCCAAATCTTGGAAAGACGCTCTTCCCGTACGAGGTGGGAGTTTCGAAATCGAGCGAAAACCATTTGCTTCAAGCAAAGAAATCCCTTCCCATACATCCAAAAATCCCGCTTCAAATTCTAAACCAAAACAAAAGGCAGCAGAACCTAGACCATCATTGAAATCATGGGAAGATTCTCTACCCATTCGAGGAGGAAGTTTCGAGCCGCAAAGATCCACAGCGAATATTCGAGATGTTTTCCCCAATATCACACGAGGACCTCTTAATCAAAATAATAGTCACAATCATAATCCCAAACCAGTGTCCCCATCTACGACCACTAAAACGACACCCCTCACGCCCCAAAAGAAGACCTCGAACCAAAAACCCACTCACAAACCCCACAGATCACCCAATACCGCCATCGTGATCAAAAAACGCAGCACAGAGATGCAAGTCCCCGGCGCATTTATCGAGTATTCCAAGCCCGGAACGACAAAAGAACGACCCGCTAGTCGAGAAATGAAGATCCCTGGTGCATTTATCGAAAGTGTCCCTTCGACTCCTGAATTCGAGAAAAATCAAGAAGAAGAAACGATTGTTCAGAAGAAGCCACAGGGAGTGAGACCGTTGAGATTACGTCCGAAAGGAAAAGTTCTTGAGAAAGAGAAAGATAATCAGAAGTCAAAAGAGAAAGTAAAAGCCAAACCGACAGAACCTAGAAATTCAAAGCAAACAAACAAAACTCCCGAGATTGACGAACCAGAAACTCTCTACAAACCTGCACCTCTCGGACCTCGCCCCTTCAAAAGAAGATTATTCGGGGGAGCGAATGTTGAGACTGCAAAAAATGGGAATGGGGTAGAGACTACACAATTATGGAGGGGAATGGACAGCTGGGCGCGGGTGGAACCGTTGAGGAAGTTGAGTCTGGGGGAGGTGTCGAGTGGGATGGGAAATTTGTGGGATGATTGATTGATTTGTTGTATTAAACTCGTTTCTATGGGATTGATGGGCGGAGGGGTATTTGGAGTAGATAGATGATAAGATGTAATTTAATATAGGGGATGTAATGTGAAGTGATTTGGTGAGATAGAACAGATAGTTAGATACCTCGTATAATTTCTAATCAAGCAAGGTGTAAAAATGGATTTGAAATCTTGAAATGAAAAATACGTGAGAGATTCCTCCCACCAAGATAATCACTTACAAAACATTCAAAAGCTTGCAACGCAAATTGTTTGATTGTTCCAAAATAACATATCATTTAACTAAATCATATGTAAAGCACCATCATAAGAATATCCCATTCACAAAATGCTGCTCAACTATTCCATTCCCACACCTCCTAAAAAAAATGGAGTAATTCCATGCTTCTCAGCCTGCAACTGCGCCGTTAACGCCACAGCCGAGTTACAACCACTAGCGATCGCAGCCGGAGTAGCCTTATACGGCGTGATACAGTCTCCGGCCGCAAAGACACCCCGAACGCTGGTTTGATGAAACGGCGGGGGTGCCAGAATATCTCCCGCAGGACTAAGATTCAGACCCAGCTGTTCAACAAACGGGCCTTGAACTATAGTCTTCGGGTTATGAACCAAGAATGCTTCTTCTTTCTCCGAACCATCTGAGAAGTGCATTGTGACTGAAGAACCGCCGTTATCAACGAGTCGTTGGATCTTGCGTGTGTCAATCTTGAATGGGGCTTTGAAGAGTGGACTAAGCTTTGCGGCTATTTCTTCATCGCCATGTGTGTATAGAGTGACCTCTTCGCTGAGCTGGGCGGCATTGGCGGCTATAATCATGTGAATACCGGTCATGGGATTGAGGGGAGGAAGAACGAGAACGCCTGTAGACTTAGCGCCGCGGTCTTCATAGCCGAAGCAAAAAAGGCAGTGAAAACTATGTAAGTACGAATAGAGTTCGTCAGTAACCAATCTAGTTTGATGTGATAGCTTTAGGTGCTCGTAATTGATTCAAATTGACTTACATTCTCTTTGTCCAAAGCTCAGCGTAGCCCTCGATCTCGGGAAAAGTATCATTCATACTTACAGCCAGTATGACTTTTCTAAAGTTCCATTTCTTCGCATTTGCGTCGACGAGGATGAAGTGAGAGTCTGTTTTCTTCTCGATGCTTGTGACGCCAACATCAAGAAATTGAATCGTAGAGTAGCGCGCCAAAATGCCATCCTTAGTCGCAGCTCGGAAGTCCTTTGGATCTCTATGATCCCAGGTAGGAACCATGTGCATATGAGCCGAATTATTATTACGGTAGGTTTGGGTGTCAAAAACCACCGCAGTATGAAGTTGGCGAGCGAGAGCACCGGCGGCAGTAAGTCCAGCTGGACCTCCTCCGATGATGGCAACGTCGATGAAATCCATGATGACAGCTATGCTATTGAAGTGATGAGTATGGCGCTTTATTAATGATGTTGGTGGCGGAACTGAATAACTATATAGGAAAGACGAACAGATAGAGGTATCCGAGTTTATGCATAACGCACGTTAGAATTCACTACATCATAGTGAGCTGCAAGCCACGACCGACTTGGATATTCTGAAGAGACATTATTTTCTGTTATTCAACCAGCTGGTTATCAGAATGACCAATCGGTTATATTCTAGTTGGTAACAAAAAATTAATAAATTGCGCCGCAATTGTTCGGGTTGGTGTGTCACCGAACAAAAGGCGCAGTCGGTAACTTGTATGATTTGAGTGAAAGACTGTAATCAGTCTGTAGAGAACTCCATGAGTAATTCATTCACTTTTTTACTGCTATTTCACCACAGCTTCTTGCTAGATTCTGGACTTTTATTGTTCCTTGAAATCCAATACTCTTCTTGCATCATTTCAAACCTCCCCAAGAAAGCTTGACCATGGAGTCGTCTGAGAATGTTATTACCAAGCCAAATCGTACTCGCCTAACGCTTATTATGGTCGGCATTTGTCTGGCAGTCTTCCTCACAGGCATGGTATGGTAACCACACACATTCCAAGCAGCCTTTTACCTTATAGAATTTTGGGTGCTAACTTTTCGCTTATAATACAGGATCAAACCATTTTAACTACGGCAATCCCCGTCATCAGCGTCGAGTTTAGCACATCACAAGACATTGGATGGTGGGCTAATGCCTATCTTCTTACTCTGAGCGCCTTTCAACTGTTCTATGGTAAACTCTACAGTCATTTTCCCATCAAAAATGTTTACCTTGTCGCTATTGTCATCTTCGAGATTGGATCTCTCATTTGCACAACAGCACATTCCTCCATAACCCTGATCGTCGATCGAGCAATCGCTGGACTAGGTGCTGCTGGGTTTTTTTGGGAAGTGTGTTGATTACTACCAAAGTAATCCCGCTGGCTCAGCGTGCTGCGTACTTGGGTATCATGTCCGCTGCATTTGGACTGGCAGCTATTCTTGGGCCGTTCCTAGGAGCTGCTATACTGTAATCGACTACATGGAGATGGTGTTTCGGCATTAACTTACCTTCAGGAGCAGTAACGGTAATCTTGTGCGGCATCCTGGTACATACACCATCAGATCCAAGTGCACAATCACTCAGTCTCGTGCAAAAGGCACTGCAGCTTGATATTCCTGGAACAGCATTCATGGTTGGATCTTTGATCTGTCTCCTCATGGCTTTACAATGGGGTGGCGCTGCCTATCCTTGGAGTAGTGGTCGGGTTATCGCTCTTTTTGTCGTATTCGGTATCCTCGCTATCGCTTTTGTAGCTACCCAGACGACCAAGATTGCCGGAAAGGCTCGCACGATTCCAAGCAGCCTAGCGCGTAATTGTGATATATGGCTGGCCGGAAGTTATGCTATGTGTATAACGGGAGGTGTCTATGTTCCCATTTTGTTTCTACCTGTATGGTTCCAAGATGTTCGCGGTCGATCACCTCTTTCTTCGGGTGAGCTGTTGACACTGTTGATCGCTGGTTACGTTGTGGCTTCAATCTTAGCTGGAGGCATCACCAGTGGTTTCAAGTATTACAATCCAGCCATGATCATTGGAACTGCACTATCAATTGCTGGAGCTGCTTTACACCTTTTCCCAATCTTAAATATTATAAATTTCAAAGAATGCCTCTTCATGAATCGTCTATTTTATGATAGTAGATAGATATCAATTTTTTCAACTCAGAGTGATACCCCCTTTCTGCTATCCGAGATTTATTAATTAACTTCTCCACAACACTATCTTCAATCAATCACAAAATTATAGTTACTATCTTCAATTCATGGGGCAAGCCCCCAAACCCCCATAGCTCGCTGCGCTCGAAGATATAACTTTTTGGGCTCATTCGAAATTCGTTTCTCTATCGTCCATACGAGCTACGAGGTATTCTCATTAGTTTCTTCATTAGAAACAAGAGCAGCTCATACATATTCATTCGACACAAATTTTATGTTGATTGTATCAACCTGTAATTTGCAGTAGGATGGATTCTCCGAAACGGATAAGTTTTTCTACATAGACGCTGACGAGGACAAGGACGACGACAATGATAGATCAACTGAGAAGTCAAATCTCGATTCTCAAAACGCAACACCGACATCAATAGCGATACAGAAGAAGACTCATTTCTCAATACCATTGAAAACAACGGAACCCCAATAGATCACAAGTTATAAGCGAAGATATATTTTTCCAAGAAACTTACGCATCATTTTATATGAAAAGCACTATGAATCAACACTCTCAATTCAGTTCTCAAAAATAACTATATATACATAAGAAAAAGTAATCAAGAAACCATCACTCCAGTCACTCCACCAAATAAAAGCAAACGCATTATCTTCCAAACCTAGCAAGCAACCAACACATGCCTAGCCCAAGCCTGAGATTCATACAATCGATAAAATACAAATCCGCCTACCAATCTTTCACTTCAGAATTCCAATCCAAGAGATTCATCTATATCTACAATTAATAAACTCCTACTACCTTACTTCAATTATTTCAATATACCTAAACTAAGTATACCAAAAACCAATTTCCACAGCCTCCGTAACTTCCTTCTCCACCACACCCAGAAAAAAAGAGAGAGATACTCATAATCCACCCTTCAGACACTCAAGAAAAAGAGCATCTCATTATAATCAAACTCAACACCTTATACTATATAAATAATCAACCCCATTCCCGCCCCATGCCATCAATTTGCAAGACACAAACACATGCGAAACCACAATTGCCGGTATCAAAAAGCATCCAGAAAGTAAGTAAGTAAGTAACTCAATATCACGCCGAAGATCTCCATCTCCATTTCCATGATATCAATATTAATAATCCGCAAAATCAAGAAATATCGACATATATCAAATCACCCATACTTTTATTTCCGATTTCCAATTTCTATATCCTATTATCTAGTATTGCTCATTAAAATAACCAAACACCAAGATATTGAAATAGAAACAAATCCAAATCCGATCCAACACCCACCCACCCACCAACCTACAATCCTCCATCCATCCATCCATCCATCCATCCATCCATCCATCCATCCATCCATCCATCCAAAAGACAAAAGACAAAAGCTACATACCCAGTAGTTCAAGACCATACACATCGATACATAAACATCGATATGAAGAAATCGCGATTATGAGATATTCTCCGAGTATGAGGACTTTTCCCTCTCCCCTCTCCCCTTCCAGTATCTTCCAACCCCACAACTTCTCCCCCCCCCTTTATCCTTTCCACTTTCCACTTTCCAAACCCTCAAAAACCTCATTCAAATCAAAACGGAGCGATCAGAGGAGCCGAGCCGGAGGAGTAAAAACAGAAGAAGAAAAAGAAAAAGTGAACCTTATAAATCACATGATTGGTTCTTGAACCTTCGTTTATCTATTATCTATTACTTGAGTATCTATTCTGGATTTGTGATTTGTGATTTGAGAGTATGAGAGAGAGAGAGAGAGCATATCGTGATCAATTAAATTAAATACTAACAAAGGGATTTATAATATTATATATTATATTATACCTTGTCTTCTGAAGAACTTGGTAAGTAAGATCTTACTAATGAACCGAAGCAGATGAAAGAAAGAATTATCTATCTATCATCAAGAGAAGCCGTATGCTCTTCATATTATAATTGATATCGGACCCAAGAATGAGTATCTATACTCTTCCTTCTATCTACTGAGAGCATACTATAATATCCAGATTACAATCAACTACCTCACTAAATATAATCCCAGCTTTCCGTCATAGTAATCTCGGTGTTGTACTAGCTGGCTTTAAGCGAGTAACTTTGAGTGTAGATGGAAATATATTATTAGATATGAGTATCTACTCATTGGGATTATACAGATATATTATTCGGAAATACGAGTATTGTATTATATTGTATTATATTGTATCTATCTGGATTCTAGAACAAGAGGAATTTGGTATATCTGTATCGATATTTATAGTTTCCTTTTTAAAGGGGAGGAAAGAAAAGTGTATCTCAATTCAGAATGAAATTTATAAGTCTTTCCAAAAAAAGAAGAAGAGATGATAAGAAAGAAAAAGGGAGGCTGAGAACTTGGTCCTACTTTTGGGGTAGTCACATTCTTCAAAACGAAGTCGATCGAAGGAATTATGCCAAAAAAAAACTAGATGTATCTAAATATCTCAGAAGTTGTAAACCCCCAAAAGATGAAGAAGCTCGAGGCTTACCATTACTCCACAGCGCAGCCAAGTTATGTTATCTTCATCCGATAACAGAACCCCGGAGCTGTAAATATAGAGAAGAGTAGAAAATAAGCTCAAGGGTTTAAAATACTTCAAGTTACCTTAATCCGATTGCTTACCTCAGAAGCGGTAAAGTTGAAGAAGAATGAAATTGTCGAAGGACTACTATCACTGCAAACTATCTATCTCTATCCATTCTCATATCTGAGATGCGGAAAGACAAAATAAGAAAAGAACAAAAACTCTCTAGAGTTTACTATCACTCCAGGGTCCAGACTCAAAACCATCTTCACCGGACCTCACATCTCAAACCCATAAACACGCTAAAAGAAACCCCCCCAAAGCTCACCATCACCTCCAGCTATCATTATCCAATCTCACAGCCTCAAAGAAAAGCTACCTAGACATCCTAAACCAAATCATCAATGCGTCCAAAAACACTACAGACTCACAATACCACATCTAGAAAGCAACCCCAAGCCCCATGATTTAGCTAGCTATTCGAACCATACCTAAACCTCCCATCCGAGTCAAAAATATCATGAAAACATCATGTGTCATCACCCGGAACTTCCGGTCCAAAATTCAAATCATCTGAAGTGACGTCAAACAAAACAGTTCATCAAGAAGGTAAAGTAATGTGATATAAGGAATGAAAAGAACCATCATGATAAATCGGGTGGTAAGAATAATATTTAGACTCTCGAATCTAGAAGCATCTTTATGAAAAAGCAATGTGTTTTCCACGTGTTGCCCGTGCTTGATACATCTGGTATATTGATTGGTGTTGGTAATCTTGTAGTTGTTGGAAATGGAATGGAAGGAAGAGGAAATGGAGTGGCAGGATTAGAGATGGATGTTCGGGACTTTAGCGATTATGATAGAACAGATACTTGAATACTTATTCTTCCCTTGATTATTCTGCCTCCACGGTAGTGGCCCTCGGAGAGCTAGCGGAGCGTTATTTCGTTATTATTATTATTATTATTGGGAATATATATTTGAGTATTCGAATCTTTAACAAATGATTGAAGAAAAGATACATATGAAATGATGAATGACTTGCACAATATATGAAATATGATTCGAACCTTACTAAGAGAAGACTAACACACCAAACGAAGAAATATCATGTGAAGAATCACAACAAGTGCACGGACCTGATATTGAAAGCGAAGGGACACTACCTCGAGACTATGAAAGTAGACTTTGCTAATAAGTAGTTATATGTAGAAACATATGTTTCAGATATTTGGAAATTAGATGATATGATATCTTATTGGTCCAAGAACGAGAATACGGATTATGATACATAAATAAAGAAAAGTGGATTTGTTACATATTTTTGAAAGTTGGGAATAATGGAAGTGAAGTAATACCTAGGTAAATAAGCTTTGGGAAGTATCTACTGGTACCCATCCCTCTTATGAATAAATGTCTTGATATGATGTAATGGTGAGTACAAAGCACAGACAGACAGACAGACAGAGCAGAGGTCAGCAGCACGCAAGATTAGTAAGAATTCGATGACTAAGAGTTCGATTACTTGATAAGGTACTCACTTGGGATTTCCAATGACCCCGCTCCCGTTTTGCCAAAACATACAGCTACTCACTCTACGTTGGTGTGAGAGATGCGAGATAAATCGGAAGGACTAGCGGTAATGTCGACCTACTACGAGTCTACGACGGATTACTCGATCCATATCTTCCATCCCTTCCACATCTTCGATGTTTCTCTGTACTTTCTCCATAAGAGTAGTCTCTTTTGGGAACGCGACTCCATGCATGATGCACGAGAAAGAAATCCCAAGAGAAATGATCTGCTGTAAGATGACGTTTCATGATTAGAGAATCATCGTACCATGGCATCAGGGCATGTACTGGTCGAATGATAATAAAACAATTGGGCTGCCGCGATTTCCTGGTGAAATATTTAGAGCTAGTAGGTGATGAATGAATGAATGATGTTGGTATGGGGAATGGAGAGTTGAAACAAAGAAATGAATGAATGAATGAATCACCAATCAATAGATGAATGAGTACGTCGTAGATAGATGAATATAACTATTAACCACCTCCTCTGTACCTACCTAGGTGAGCTCGTGGCGCAATCTACAGAGATACCTATTCCGTAAACATCTAGCTATGTATTTTGACGGTATGAAAAACCAGCAACGACGACGACAACAACTCCATACAGTAGTACAGCTAGTAGTAACTTTAAGGTTTGATTTAACTTCATAGTACACACTCATACTGCTACCCGATCATGTCCAACCATCCACCACTGATCCATATGCATACATCTTCCTCCTCCAGCTTGAAGAGTTTTTTCATATTTCTCTGTACTGACTAACCAACACAAGTAAACTCATATGGATACTACCTAGGTATTGACGTTCACATTTTCCATTCACTCTACCCCTCCATTTCACAGGCCAAAAATAATCCTCAGCTGCTCTTGATTTCATTTTACGAAGTCACACGAACATTTGTTGGTTTTGGCGAGAATCAATTTGGGTTTATCAATACGACGTAGACGAAGATAGCTAGAGTAGAGGAGGTACTTCCAGGTACTCGAGTATATCTAAAGCGGGCTTGATCACTTTATTTTCTCATTTCTCTCATCTTCCATCTTCCATCTTCTACGTCTACATCTACATCTACAACTACAATCTACATCTACATCTACATCGGCATCTCCATCTGCATCTCCATCTGCATCTCCATCTGCATCTCCATCTGCATCTCCATCTACAGCCGCAGCCCAACCAAGCCGTATGAGATAGCTCGCTTTCATTAGGTACCGAACCATCCCTTCCTCGGAAAACACTCACCCCGACCCCTTGAATAAAAGAAAGTGGGTGGCAAGGCAAGTTCCATCCATCACCATTACCGGTCGGGACAAGAAACGAAACCACAACAAATAAATCAAGTTAAAATCCCATCCCAATCCATTCTTTTCCATCGCAAATCCTTTTTTCACCATCGCAACCACATACACAACTCTTTTTATCGATACATTATAGATAAAACGCTTATAATCATGGCTGCTACCATGTCGTCCTCAGAAGCACAGGTTCTTCATAGTCCTCCAAGTCCTACCGTAAAGCGTCCTAAAGGTATGTTCTTTATTTATTTTCCAAAATGCTGTGTGCGTGCGTGCGGATTCTACCCCGCTATTCCCAGATCTTTTTCGATCCGATTCGAGAAAAGAGTCAAACATGAGAATGGATAAGAAAAAATGAGGAAATCAACTAACATTCCAAACCAAAGGCATTCTCAAAACTCCTTCCACCGCTCTCCCCCCTTCCAAGCCCCCATAACCACCTCCGCCCCTCCCATCACATCCCCCAAACACGTTGCCGTCCCCAGCACCCCCACCACCTCAGCCATCTCCGACCACGACGTCACTCTCCAAAACACTCTCCAAAACGCCGGACACCGACGCTCCTCGTCCGCCAGCCGTCCGATCCGTCGTGCCTCCTCGGGATCCACACACAACAGCCATGACGATTCGAATAACATGCGGCTGCAATGGGACGAGGCGAATCTGTATTTAACGGAGCAGGAAAAAAGCTCGACGATGAAGATCAACGAGCCGAAAACCCCGTATGCGAGACATTACGATCCGGCTGAGGATGCGGATGAGATTCGCACGATTGACGCGGGGGAGATCGTGGTGGATGAGCTGGATAAGGTGAAGGGGGGACACCGACGGAATCATCAACGGGACGAGGAGATTCCGGGATTGAGTTTGGGAGAGCCGGAAGAGGCGGTTCCGGAGAGGGAAGTGGAGATGGGCGAGGGAGAGGAGAAGAAGGTGGCATGTAGCGGGGCGAGTATGGGCGAGATGCGGATGCGGAAATAGGGGGGATGACGGAGGAGGAGAGGGAGAACATTAGAAGTTTGAGGCGATGAGGAGGAAACATTATGATATGGCGAATGTGGCGGGGCTTTTGGGTCATCCGGAGGAGGTGGATGGGGAGGAGGAGGATGAGGAGATGAGATGAGATGAGATGATGCAAATACATGGAACGATGAGAATGGGCTGATGTATGGACTGATTGATTGATTGATACAAGACACGAACATGAATTTACGAGAATGAATGACTGGATGGATGGATGGATGGATGCACGCACGATACGAATTTTACGGTTACGGACACGGATATGATTAATGGCATTTTTGGAGAGGAGAGGAGAGGAGAAAAGGGTGACTAACCTTTACCTTTACCTTACCTTTTCGCGCGGGCTAGGCGTCATTTTGTAAGTAGTTATTTACCTAGGTAGTTTATACATGTGCAGTTTTATATATGCGATACTTGGGTTTGATTTGTGATTTGTTCCTGCGATTTGTGGTTGTTTAAATGTGAAGTTTTGATTTGGTGTGAGTGAGTAGATGGTTGGTTTCATGATGATGATGATGATGAAGATGATGAGTGTAGTTGATATATTAATAATAATAACAATAGAAATAGAAATAGAAATCAAAGTCGAGGTCGAAACAGAAAATAAAAAAAACCAACTAATCTAATCTAATATACGCAGAGATTAATAGATCAATCATGTAAACTTTTATTCTATTCTAAGTGTGTAAATTATTATATATAGTAGGTATATCTTTGTAGTATGATATGATAGATATATTCAAAGTGATGTATTCAAGTGATGTATTCAAAGTGATGTATTCAAAGTGATGTATTCAAAGTGATGTATTCAAAGTAACTCAAGGTAGATAGGTAGGTAGGTAGGTATCTATCTAATCCACGGAGCTACCAAAGCTATATCAAGTGATCTATGTATTTATGTATCTAGGTAGTTGAGAGTTGAGATTTGAGAGTTGAAATTTGAAATTTGAGATTTGAGATGTGATTTGATTTAATGAGGAAGTAAATAGATAAATGAATATCTAATAGATAAATAGACGAACGGTGAATAGGAATTTAAATTTAGTAATAATAATAATAATGCATGGATAGATAAGTAAGTAAGTAAGTAAGTAGATAGATAGGAAAAACAGATTTCAATAATTAGTATAGATTATAGAGGTTGTATATATATACTCATTCTGAGGTTTCCTCACTCCGCTCGTCGGGAAAAGCGATGATTCGACTATGAGTGGTATATACCTAGTATCTTTCTCCCCCTCTTCTCCCCCTTCTTCCAATCTAATCCTCTAATATAGAAAGAAGTGAGGAATTCGTATTTCTTGAAAGAGGGAGAAAGGGGTTATAAATATAGTACAGAGTAATTTAACGGGTTAAAAAGTAGAAAGTTATCGAATGAGGAGATCAAGAGTATTTATTTATATATAGGTATTCATATATATACATTTCGATTCAATATACCCAAAGAAATAATTTACATCAATATCAATCTATGTTTTTGATCAAATTTCATGGTATTTTACAAATCAACTACCTAATTATATGCCGTTGCTATGCATTTAATTTAGAAAGACCTTCGCTTAAATTTCCTACGCCCATGCATGCCCCTCGTGATATCAAATTTTATTCTTTCCCCTCGCTTTCCTTTCTTTTCTTTTCCTTTCCAATTCATCAACCTCATCATTCACCCCATCTAATCACCTCCTACTCATCCTCTCACATGACCCGAATGAGGAAACTCATCTTCTAGCTTCAATCTCACCAAGACATTCATACTCAGCATCTCCTGCACCAACAACTTCGCCGCATATGGCATCGTCATTGTGCTCACCCCCTTGGAGCTCTTACACGTCTGACACCAACCCGAGTATCCCATCAATCCACAAGTTTCGCAAATATCCACCTGATGAGCATCACTACTCAACATAAGTCTCTCGAGTAACAATTGACTTGCACCGTAAGCAATAAGACAATCTCTCTCCATCTCACCCAAACGAAGACCTCCATCTCTCGATCTACCTTCTGTGGGTTGACGAGTGAGGATAGCACGAGGACCGCGAGATCGAGAATGCATTTTGTCTTGAACCATGTGCTTAAGTTTTTGATAGTAGATGGGGCCGAAGAAGACGTAGGCTGGTAGAGATTCTCCCGTAATACCACTTGTGACGAAATCCTTACCCGAGTAACTGAATCCATTGTCGATTAAAATTTGTCCCATGACGTCAACATTGCTACCTCCAAAACAAGTACCATATTCGAGAGTGCCATTAATGACACCAGCTTTTCCAGAGAGCAATTCCAACATCTTACCAACCGTCATACGAGATGGGAAGCCGTGAGGGTTCATGATAATATCGGGAGTAACTCCTGAATCCGCAAATGGCATATCTTCTTGATTAACGATGATACCAACAACACCTTTTTGACCATGGCGAGATGAGAATTTGTCTCCCAACTCAGGTCGTCTAGTTTGACGAGTTTGAACTTTAATGACTCCGCTCTCATTCTCTGTTTGGGAGAACATGACCTTGTCAATGTAAGCATGATCGTGTAGTTTGTAACCCATTGGTGCAGGTTTCATATCGTTAAGGTTGAAATCATTGCCCATCCCAGTTGAGTTTGGATTTGAAGGGGATTCCTTATTTAGATAAATTTCGCCGGCATTGATTCTCTCACCAACTAATGCGATTCCATCAGTTCCCAATATCCTGTGCTTTGCAATAGGTTTGCCATTTTCGCCAATAATTCTATCAGCAATACGATCTTGAGATCGATTAGGATACTTTTTCAATTGTGTTGAATATTTACGGAACACCTGACAACGTCCGAATCCACGATCACAGGAGGCTTTATTAAGAACAAGAGCATCCTCAATATCGTAACCTGAGAAGGACATGACAGCGACTGTGGCATTCTGACCAGCTGGAAGTTTGTCGTATTTGATTAACTCTATCGTACGAGTCTTGACCATGGGTTGTTGTGGATAGACCATAAGATAAAGTAAAGTATCAATACGAGAAAATTGATTGTATGCAATGGCACCAATAGCTTGCTTACCCATAGCACATTGATATGTGTTTCTGGGAGATTGGTTGTGATGTGGGTAAGGAATAAGTCCTGCAACTGCTCCTAGCACAGTGAAAGGTTCGATTTCAAGATGTGTAGTCGCTTCGTTGATATAGTTTTCCCTGATGGCAATATTAGAATCGTTCTCCTCATTACAGTCAACGTATTCGAGAAGTCCTTTGTATAAGAAATCGTCGAAATCCATTGTTCCTTTTCTAAGCTCTTCCAGATGGCGTTTCGTAACCTTAGGCTTTTGATTCTCCACAATAATCAGAGGTCTGCAAATTCGACCTTCATCTGTAGCAATATGAACAGATGTGCTGTGATGGTTGATAAAAATGCTGATATACTCCGAAATACGGCCCATACGTCGGAATTTTCTGAAAGAATTAAGGAATTTCTTGGGTTGACGAGTGAGTGCGAGAGGCGTTCCATTAACGAAAATAACGTAAGCTCCCTTCTCATAGATTTCCTTACCACTCATGGAAACGATATCTTCTGCACCAAGAACGAAAGTTAGTTTTTTGACAGGCTCTTCATCATCGTAAGTAGTGATGTGAGTCATGAGTGCCAGATTTTTAACCAGTCCACAAGCTTCTCCTTCAGGAGTGTCAGATGTACAAAGCATGCCAAACTGAGAAGGTTGTAAAGCTCTGGGTCCACTGACTTTCCTAGTCTTCTCAAACTGACTGCTGATTCTTGTCATCATTCCAAGAGCACTAATGTAACTGAGTCTACTGAGAACGTGCGTAACACCGGCCCGTTCCATCTTGAATCGTTTCAAACTCCAGTTTCCTGTCGAAATAGCACGGTTCATACCAATGGTGATGTAGTTGCCGTGAGACTGCATATGATTGTATGCATCAAACTCCATGCCCCTGTTAGGTTTCTTCAGAACTTTATCAATGTTCATTTTCAGATCAGTGTTGAACTTCTTGAATAAATCTTCGAAAAGCAAAGAAAGAAGTTGTCCAGCAAGTTCCAGACGCTTATTACCAACGTAATCTCGGTCATCAACGAGCGTTGGGTTAACCATGGCCATGAGGACTCTGCGAACCATAAAACAAATATAGAGTGCTTTTGGGCGGAAGTCTAGACCAACAACCGGAACGTGTGTGATTATAATGTTTGCGAGTGCTTCAAGAGCATCATTGACATAACTGCGACTCCGAGGTCCCCCTCCCGGTGCTCGGGCTCGGCTACCCATTTTGACACGAGACCCTATATATTCAAGAGCTTGATGTTGAGTATGGACACCAAGTTTGGTGGCTTCCTCAAAATTCACTGAAAACTCGTCCTGATATCTCTCATCAGATCCAGCGACTAGAAGTAATAATTCATGATCTGATTGGATTCCCATGGCTTTCAGTACAATCACAATCGGTAAAGCTTCTGTCAAGATATTATGCTGAAGAGAGATTCGCTCCTTTTTAAGCATTACATAACTTTTTGACTTGCGCTCGTGTGTAGAACTGTTCAAAAGTTAGTGATACTAAAGGACTATAGGAAAAGATTCTCTGACCTCGTAACGGACGCAGAAACGATTCCTTTCTTGGGGTCTGCTTCGATAATAACTCTGTTCTTGCTGAGTTGTTCTTGAACAAGAATGACTTTCTCTGTACCATTAACAACGAAATACCCTCCAGGATCCAAAGCACACTCGTTCATGTGAGCCATCTGGCGATTATTCTTTCCAGCCAGCCTACATTTTGAACTCTTCAACATAATAGGCATTCTGCCAATTGCGATATTCTTCCTAGCTACTATAGTCCTTCCTCGCATATATTTAATATCGACTCTAATTGGCGCAGCATAGGTCATGTCGCGAAGACGGCATTCATTAGGTGTAATTTCATTTTGCGGTTTGCGATCATCATATTCCATTCGTTCCGGCTCGCCAACACGAATATCGG